CTCCCCCTCTCTCTTCCCCTTCCCCCTCCCTCTGTCCCTCCCTTCCTCCCTCCCACCCCCCTTGTGCTCCTCCAGAAGTATGTTAAGTTACTCCACTATGTCATCCACTATAGTGTAATTAAATTTATGTCTGGTTTATTTTTAATGTCACCTGATGAAAATACTAATTTTAATAGAACACTTGCCTTAGTCAAGATTATTTATCTTAGGAGTGGCACAGTCCCTCCTTTGATTCCCTAAATAACTTTAAATAAAATCTAAAATATGAACAAAAACAAACTCATACAGATAACTTTATGTGCAATTTGACCGAAATTGAGGTGATTTTAAACATTAAGTCACCTGCACTAGGAAGTGGGCTCCATTCTGAAGGAACGCATCACTTCTTATCGGCAAGTTTTTGGCAACTTGGGTTGTATGTTCCGGGAAGATGAGGCTGTTTCTCCTGGACACATTTAAGATGCCATCTTTCGCCCTAAAAGGGTCCACAGCGCCAGCAGGAATATAAAATGCAGAATAGAGCACTTGCACATCTCCTTTGGCTCCCCCTAGTCTTGTAAAACTCAGGGACAAGCAGCGTTCACCTGGACTGCTTTCAATCCTCTGGTTATCCATAGGAAAAAATGTTATTAGTCCATAAACGTCATCACTATCCTGGATGTAGAACAAAAGCTGTAGATGGAAAAAATATATTAAAGTGTAGAATTCTCACATCTCAGATTATTAAACCGTATTTTCTAGGCTGTTCTTATCTGCAATATTTATCTATATATCATGTCTAAGACAACCACTTCTCATAGCTAAGAAAGTAAAAAAAATCTGAATAGTTTCCTAAACCAAAATTTGGGAAACATTTCAAAGAGCACAACATTAAAGTTGGGGGCGTGGCTCTGGTGGAGCATGCAAAGCATGCTCAGGCCCTGGAATGAAATTCCACCACCACCACAGAAAAAAAGGAGTATGTATTTGCAGAAGAGACCAGGGTGACTAAGAGAAGCAGGCTCCACTTTTGTATCACACTGCACTAAACCTCTGTTTGATGGTGTGACCAAATACCTTGGACCTTCTTAGCACAAAAAAAGAGGTAGGAGAACAGCATAGCAAGAGTCTACCTCGGCTGGCTCGCTCACTTCGGCACCTCCCCATATGGTGTGGGGCAGAATTCTCAGTAGATAAGCTTCGGCCTCTTCCGGGACATCATCATCAATGACGGTCAGAGAAACTGAGGCCACCATCTGCCCCTGTGCGAAGTGCAGCACCCCAGCGCTTGGTCTGATGTCTTCCGTCACTGGGGAGAGGTCACTGCTGTTCCTCGTCAGCACCCAGTTCACAGAGACATTGCCGTGGGTGCCACCATTTCTAACCACTGAGATTTCTTCGAATCTAGAAGTGTTTAAAAGGAATGTACATTGTCCTGTTACACACTCTACGTTTCCTTTCAAAAGGCCTTTCCACAGCCACGCTGGCCAATGGACACCAGTGAAAGCAGACCCGCAACCAAAACAATGATTGTTTTCAGCGTGAAGGGGCAGATGGAGGGATGCCCCCTAAGAAACTACTGCAACAGGAATCATTCCATCTGCACAGTGACATGATCTTCAAAGTATAAGGAACACAGTGAAGTCAAAGTAGAGAAAATGACCAACAGGTCAGCACTGTGTCTAGCAACACAAAAATTAAATCTTATAATGACATATAAAGATAACTGTGGCAAAGGGCTTAACATAAATCGTACCTCGAAGTTGTGTCTTCATCAATTATAACCGGCCTTTCAAACAGGATGCTGTTGAATGAGAGGACGCCATAAGGTTTGTCATTTGGCTTAATGGTGACTTGCACGACAGAAGGCCCTGTTAGCACAGCATCTCCCCGTAAGCTCTCCTTCAGCAACATGATGTGAAACGATTCGGCAATCTCTGGTATGGCATCATCAACTATTTGAAATTTCAGATGTGACTCATGAATCAAAGGAGGAAAAACAATAGTCGTGTTGGGCTGAAGATCAATGAAGTCCTTATTTTGCTGGGCATGTGCAGTGGAATTCCCAGTGATAACTGTGTATCTGACTGAAACTTCATATTCATCAGATCCAATCAGATTTCCATTGTTATCCTTTCCACGGACCACTGGAATTATAAGTACGTGGTCTTCCTCGGGTACCAAATAAGTGCTCTGGAAAAATCGCACGGGACCATCATTTTTCTTAATGATGATCTCAACTGAATTCCTAGATACGTTAATCTCAGCCCCTCCTTCTACACCTTTGAGTTGAATCAAAAATATTTCATCGTTTTCTGGCACCTGTCGAAGGAATATAAACAGTGGTAAAATATCAACAGCTAAATGATCTATAAAGAAATCGAAGTACAAAAACTTACTATGTTTCAAAAGAATAATATAAATAGAAACAAATCTTTAATGAAGGAGCAAATAGGAAGAGCTTTGTTTATTCTCCCCTTACTAAAATGTTTTCAAAGATAATGTACTTTAGGTAGGAATGGGGAAGCTAGCTAGGTGGAACTTGTGAAGCGCCAATGAAGAAATACAGATGTCCTTCGATCTTGGTTAGGCTTTACGTAACCACAGAGATGGACGCAAATTCTTACCAGTTTTATCAGGCTGACAAGGTTAGAAGCACCATTCTAATTGTAATAATATCTTAAAATATGAGCAAAAGCATATTAAATATAATTGTTCATTTTCAATATGTAAATTATTATTTCTCACTACATGGTTTCTAATCCAGGAGGCAAGTAAACAGTGCAAGTCATATCCAACGCATATTTTGTGTACTGCCAGGTGTGGTGGTGCGCACCTGTAATCCCAGCACTTGGGAGGCTGAGGCAGGAGGACTGCTATGAGTTAGACGCCAGCCTTGGCTACATAAGCAAGTTCAAGGCCAGCCTGCACTACATAGCAACACATTCAAACAATACAAACAAACAAACATCATGTCTCTCTGGAGCAAGAACTGTAAG